TAAAATGATTGAATGACTTAGAATAGGAGGAAGCATAATAACAATGTATACAAAGATATCTTGATTGTCAATGTGTGAATTTTAGATAAAATTCAAGTGAGGACCACGGAAAGGACACAGAAAGACTTTGTAACCAATCGACACACTGTGTGTAATTGAAGAGGCTTTTATGTTATATGTGTTGTGTGTTTGTGTTTGTCTGAAAATAAAATTTTTATATATATATATGAAGAGCAAGAGGAGGAATTCTGGGAGTTGAAGTACACAAGTCTTAAAGCTGTCAAGTTACAAGACCCCTGCACCTTTAACCCTTTAGAAAAAAAGAAAAAAAACCAGGGGTGTTCAAACTTGACAGCTTTAAGACTTGTGTACTTCAACTCCCAGAATTCCTCCTCTTGCTCTTCATATATATATATAAAAATTTTATTTTCAGACAAACACAAACACACAACACATATAACATAAAAGCCTCTTCAATTGCACACTTTGTCGATTGGTTACAAAGTCTGTCTGTGTCCTTTCCATTGTTCTCACTTGAATTTTATCAAAATTCACATATTGACAATCAAGATATCTTTGTATACATTGTTATTATGCTTCCTCCTATTCTAAGTCATTCAATCATTTTAGCATTGATAACATTCTCTAATCATTTTAAATTCCATGTCGACCTTTCTGATTGAGAAGCTCAGCGTCTTAGCCACAAACATCCAAATAATGCCCAAAATAATTTCACTGTTTTATAAATCAATCTTCCCTTCCCGCTGTGACTGATGAGACAGCAAATGTTTGCAGTTGAGCAGGGATATTTTGTGACCACTTTGTCATCTTTTTTCTCCTTGCAGCGCCTGGAAGAGATCATGAAACGGACACGAAAAGCCGAAGGAGTTGATGCCAAGGTGATTGATTTTCCTGGTCTCTGTTCTGACCTAGGCTTCCCAAAATCCCAAAGCAGACTCCTTGTCCCAAAAAAAACCCCTCCTTTTTATTAAGCTACTGCGAATTCCTCTCATTCACATCCAGCAAACTCCCGGCAAACAGTCTTTCAAGGGTGAAATTACAACCACAGACCTTATCAGGCTTGGAGAGCTGCCAGGCTGATATCCTCCAAACGCCATGCTGTACAAGGAAATACTTGGCAAGGAGTCTCTGAGAGGCACAAACAAATCTTAACACAAATTAAGTGAACTAATAGTTTCCTGCAAACTCCACTCCCCTTTCACTATGGGAGGGGCCATTCACCAGCCACTTGTGCCTTTACTTCTGGGTCGGCCTCTCCTGGCAGCTCTGCGCATGTGCACATCGGGAACAGGCTCCAGCTGTTCTCCAGCCCCACTGGTCTCAGACTCCGAAGGCAGCTGATAACTGTCAGACGACCTTGGCCCCATCTCTGCCTCTGATGCAGGGCCTTCATCAGAGCCTTCTCCAGAGTCCAGGACTGGCCCATGTTCCTCCCCAACCTCCTCACTGTCTGAGTCGGCCACTAGCTCCGCTGGCTGATGGTGGGCCACAACAGTCTCTTCCAGCAGATGAGAGGACTATGAGCTGCAGTTGCTGGCCTTAAATAGGGTGATGCCTCCAGAAGAGATAGCAAATAGCAACCCTTCATCTGAATGAACGGGAGCCCAATTCAGCCTGCCACAACTCACAAATGTTTAAGCGGAGCTGCCCCACAGAGGTTTTGGATCTGCCACTTGGCAGTCTCTCTTCTGCTGTGCCCCTCTTATGATAGGGCAGCCTTGGGTTTCCAGAACCTTACATCAGGGGCCTTTGCAGATACTCAGAAACAATGGACAGTCTTCCTTTCAATCTGGACCGGTCATCGGGACCAGAGGATTAGTCTTCTGAGATTTACCGGATTTTACCATAAAACGCTCCAAATTATAAGATGCATCTAGCTTTTGAAGAGGAAAACAAGGGGGAAAAAATCTGCCTCTGCCTCCCAGCATCCATCTGGTATTCTTCTGGCCTGTTTGCCACTGCCCATTCAGTGCAGCTCATTCACTGCCACCCATTCAGTGCAGCCCATTCACCACCGCTGCAGCCTGTTCTAGAACAGCTGATTGGCACTGAACCAACCCCACGCCCGCTGCAATATTCACATACACTCACCACTTTTTGGGCGGTGAAAAGGTGCGTCTTATGCTCTGAAAAACACAGTATATAGTCCGAAGCAAACATTCCAGGAGAGAGAAGTAGCCCGAGGATGGGCTCCAGCACGAGTCCAAAAGCTCAGAAAACAGAACCTTTGGCCACGATGACTGACTGCAACTGGATCTTGCAATATTATCCTGGGACATGTGTATTGGCTTCATTTGTGAGTCTTCCTTCCTTCCACAAGAAGATAGCAAGCATGGATGCTTCTTCTCCTAATATACTGGTTGAAGACCTGGTTCCTGTTAGGAATGTAGTCTAACAGTTGGGTTAACAATATATAAGCCATGATAGTAGTACTGTATCTTTAAGTACTGCTGTAAAATGTGATTGGTTGCTGTTACCTCAAGCGGCCATAAGATGGAGCCAGAATGACTGTTAGCCCTCTGTTTGTTAGATGCCAATTGATGGATACTGCTTATAGATGTGCGTGAATTACTGTGAGTTTTGCTACTGTTAGCGACTTTGTGTGCTGAACTGATTATATGATACTGGACTGTGTTTGACGGATCACCCCTTAACTGAGAACGTTGCCGACTGACTGTTTTAACAGTGTATGAATTCGACTCTGCATACCTCTATTTCCACGGAAGTAAAACACTATCTGTTTTTACAATTCAGTGTCTCCGTATCCTGGTTTATGTGTTTTCTTCCACACCACTCTCACTATGCTTCTCTGCACGCACTCGTTCTCCTAACAGGGAGCTTACCTAACAGTTCCTTCTCGCTTAATATATCTCCCGCTTCTTCTTTTTTTCCCAGAAGAAAGAGGACAAGAAGATGGTGAATGGCAAGGAAGAGAAACAAGAGGATGGAATGGGTCCAGGTGAGAATCCCATTCAGCATCCTTATACTTGTTTTGAAATCTGATTACAGGTTGTCCTCACCTTAGAACCATTCCTTTAGCAACCGTCTGAAGTTGCAACAACATTGGAAAAATGTGGTTACAATTGGTCCTCCCACTTATGACCATCACAGGATCATGTTCAAAATTAGGGTCTTGGCAACCAACACATATTTACAATGATTGCAGCATCCCGGGGTCATGAGGTCACCATTTGTGACCTTTCTCAGTTGGCTCCCAACAAGCAAAGTCAGCAGGGAAGCCGGATTCGCTTAATGCCTGATTTGTTTAACAACACCAAGGTTTCATTTAACAACTATGGCCCCCAAAAACTGTGACTCAGTTAATAACTGCATTGCTTAGCAATGGCCCTAATTGTGGTCGTACGTTGAGGACTACCTGGAATCTCTGTGAGCCTGTTTCTCTCCTTTTTAAATGAACTCAGCTCATAGAGCCCTCCGTGGATGAATATGGATTCATTTTGGGTCCCAGTGAGAAATCTAACTTTTGTTTTTTGCGGGGAGGGAGGATGAGGAGGCCCTAGGATTCTGTGACCTCTATGGCAGTGGCCTCAATGATGGGATTCAGCCGGCTCGCACCTATCCGGGAGAACCGGCTGTTAACTTTCTAAGCAGTTCGGAGAACCGGTTATTGGAAGAAATCTCCTTTCGTTTTTTTCCACTTCACAGGGCTAATCCTGTAAGGAAGGCAGGAAGGAAACATTCTGGTGTTGTTTCTACCCTGCTTCTAGAAACTGCCTCTCCTGTTAACCCTTATGACATTGTAACAGCAAGGGCGAAGCGCCCAACGACGCGAGTGACTTTGAGTTGTCCATGACCACCAAGTCACATGACCACCAAGCCCCGCCTACCCAGCTGGTCATTAGGGCGGGAGAACCGGCTGTTAACTTTCTAAGCAGTTCGGAGAACCGGTTATTGGAAGAAATCTCCTTTCGTTTTTTTCCACTTCACAGGGCTAATCCTGTAAGGAAGGCAGGAAGGAAACATTCTGGTGTTGTTTCTACCCTGCTTCTAGAAACTGCCTCTCCTGTTAACCCTTATGACATTGTAACAGCTAAGGCGAAGCGCCCATCGACGCAAGTGACATTGAGTTAGCCATGACCATCAAGTCACATGACCACCAAGCCCTGCCTACCCAGCTGGACATTAGGGCAGGGAACCGGTTGTTAAATTATTTGAATCCCACCACTGAGTGGCCCCCAACTTTTTGGGCACCAGGGACCGGTTCCGTGGAGAGAGGTTTTCTCGAGGACCGAAGAGGGCCTGGTTTTATGTGCTGCCTGAGTCCCGTGGATGGGGCTTTGCTGGTTTGTGCGGACTAGTTTCTGGCATGCCACGGACCAATGTTGGTCCATGGACTGGGAGTTGGGGACCCCTTGTCAGTGTTCCAAATAAACCCCCAACGAAAAAGGACTGAGGCTTGAGTTTCCTCAAAGGTCCCTTTTATTAGAGATGTCATACTGGCACATCTGGGAAAACCCGAATCTGAAAGCTTCCAGGTTTTCCCCACCCAAATGAAAGTCCAAGTCCCTGCCCAGCCCCCACATTACATGACCCATTCAGGCACCTTCCAAAACTGGAGATGCCTCCCAGTCACACCATCGCGGCTGCATGGCAAGTCGGCCTTGACTCTCTGAGAAAGGAATGTTATTTTGACTATAGATCTCCCATACTCCATACAATCCCTGCTCCCATTTTCCCATAGCATTAAATGTGGTAGGCCTGAAGGCCCAAGGCTAAAGATGGCTTCCAGGCCTGACATCCCCTGCTCCAAGGTGCTAAATAGAAGATTTTCTTCCGTTTTCAGATGGCAAGAAATACCCTGGAAGCCTCCCCAAGGAAGAAGAGCTGCCTGAGATGCAACCCTCGAGCCCGGCCAGTCGCAAAGGGCTGAGTCCAGACAGCACGCAGCACAGGTATATAAAGAGTTGGGAAAGCAGGTCAGAACATTGCAGGAATGCCATGGTAGACACTTCCCCAGAATTCCTCTTCTTTGTTGGTACAGAAAGATAAACATCTCCCTCAAGTGGAGCTTCACATGTCATTGTTTAAGTCAGGGTGTCAAACTTGATTTCATTGAGGGCCGCATCAGGGTTGCAATTGACTTCGGAGGGCAAGGGTGGACATGGCCACCTCAACGTCACTCCAAGTTGGGGGGTGCTAGTGGTGGCCCAAGCATTCTGCCAGCAAAAACAGGCTCCTGAGGTCCGTTTTCAGCTGCCACGGCCTCCTGCAACCCTCTGCTAGTGAGAACGGAGCTTAGGAGGGCTACATGCTGAGCACCTGAAGAGGCAAACAAAATGCTCCAAAATTCTAAAGGCTTTTAGTCGGGTGAAATTCAGCAGGTTCTGACAGGTTCTGGAGAACCAGTAGCGGAAATTTTGAGTAGTTCAGAGAAGCGGCAAATGCCACCTCTGACTGGCACCTGAGTGGGGAGGGAATGGGGATTTTGCAGTATCCTTCCCCTGCCACACCACCAAGCCATGCCCACAGAACCAGTAGTAAAAAAATTGGAATTTCACCACTGCTTTTAGTGCTCTCACGCCAAGATCTTATGAAAATACCCAAACCGTAACAAAATCTCAGGGGGCTGAAATCAGGGTTACAGTGGACCTTTAATGCATGCAGGAGCCAAATGACCCAACTCTTCCTGGAAAACAAGAACTTGAGTTGTCTTCCTTTTGGTGTCTTTTTAAAATTCCCATTAACAAAGTTTAAGACAACGTTTTGCCCAGCACTTGAAATTTGGCAGCAACATTATATATCTAGCCTCTATGTGTCAGTCAGTCATCTATATCAATCATCTTTCTCTATGTATCATATCTGTCTGTCTATCTATCATCTAGCAACTCTATATCACTCCCTATCATCTCTATCATTATCTATCTATCTATCTATCTATCTATCTATCATCTCTCTCTCGTCTATCTATCATCTATCTATCTATCTATCTATCTATCTATCTATCTATCTATCTATCTATCTATCTATCTATCTATCATATCTCTCTCTCATCTATCTATCATCTATCTATCTATCTATCTATCTATCTATCTATCTATCTATCTATCTATCTATCTATCTATCTATCTATCATCTCCATCCATCCCTCCAACCAACTAACCATTCAATTTGTATAGCCATCAACCTCAAGCCAATTGGCTCTGGGCAGCAAGCAATATCACACTAGTTAAAACCATAAAAATGCAAAAACAGAGATTATAAATATATATAGGCAGCTGAAAATGATCATAATAAAGTTACATAAAAATGAACACTGCAACCAGGTAATGTGGGAGGGGGAGCTAATATTTCCAGGACCACACAGCCTGATTTTATTTATGTACTTAAAACACTGATTGATATAGTCACCCACCTTTCCACCAACTCAGAGGGGCTCCCACTTAAAAATTAAAAGACACAAATAATCATTTTAAAACCTGCAAAACTCAGCCACTTAAAACCCAAAACATTAAAAATGACACAAACCTGCTTCCAGTCCATGCTAATGTGCCCTTGTCTAATCTAGAAGTCTCCAAACTTAGCAATTTTAAGACTTGTGGGTTTTAATTCTTTAGCCAACATGGCTAGCTGTGGAATTTTGGGAGTTGAAGTCCACAAGTCCTAAAGTTGCCTGGTTTGGAGACCCCTAATCTAATCTTTAAATATTAGGATCTTGAAAGCTTTAAAGGTAAAGATTCCCCTGCACATATGTGCTAGTCGTTCCCAACTCTAGGGGGTGGTGCTCATCTCCGTTTCAAAACCGAAGAACCAGTGCTGTCTGAAGACATCTCCGTGGTCATGTGGCTAGTATGACTAAACGCCAAAGGCGCATGGAACGCTGTTACCATCCCATCAAAGGTGGTTCCCATTTTTCTACTTGCATTTTTACGTGCTTTCAAACTGCTAGATTGGCAGAAGCTGGGACAAGTAACGGGAGCTCACTCTGTTATGCGGCACTAGGGATTCAAACTGCTGAACTGCCGACCTTCTGATCGACAAGCTCAGCATCTTAGCCACTGAGCCACCATGTCCCTTAGCTAAAAGGGTTGGAGCCATCCTGAGCACCACAGGAAGAATGCTCCAAAGGGCAGAGACTACTGCCAAGGGGGTGATGTCTCCTGGTGCCTGCCTCAGTTGACATTCCTCAGTTGACAGGACCCACAGCATCCCCAATCTACTATAGAATTGGATGGGAAAAACTCTCAGGAGAAGACGGTCCTTCCGGTAACCCAGTCCCAAGCCAGGCAGGGCTTTAAAAGGGATAACCAGCACTTTGGATTGCAGCCAGAAACACAGTGCAGGGTAGTGCCTTGTTCTGACCTAAGCGTCCCCAGCAGCACGAAGCCGAGTCCTCGTCCCCATAAACCTCTTTTATTTAATTTACAGTGAATTCCTCTCCAGCAAAGCCTTTCCTCTCCCAGTCTTTCAAGATAGTTCACAATTATCGACCTTTATCAGGCTTGGAGAGGGGCCAGGTCGATATCTTTCAGATGCCGCAATACTTGGAAAGGATGCAGGAATGAACTAATTGTCTCCTGCAAGCTCCACCCCCCTTTCGCCCCTCTTTTATTTCCTCTGGGAGGGGCCATTCATTGTCCTCCTGTGGCCTTACTCCCTTGTTCCTTAGCTGTTCCCTTCGTCTGGCAACTGTGCACATACGCACACTGGGAACAGGCTCCATCTGCCCCACTGATGTCTGACTCCGAAGGCAGCTGATAACTGTCAGACGGCCCTGACTCCATCTCTGCCTCCAACACAGAGCCCTCATCAGAGCCTTCTGCAGGCTCCAGGACTGACCCATGTTCCTCCCCAACCTCTTCACTGTCCGAATCTGCTGCCGGCTTTTCTGGCGGGTCACAACACCCCTGTAGTAGTAGTCATGGCCAAAATTCAACCACATTTGTGTCCCTTGTTTGAATATGGGCATGGTTAGGAATTGATGGTTTGACTCCTTTCTGTCTCCGGAGGGTGTTAATTGCTTGCTCCAAGTCCCTCCTGAATGGCTTCTTCCCTCCTTCCCCTCCTTTTTTCCTACTTTCCCAAGGCCAACTCAAAAGTCCTTTATGCTAATGCAGGGAAGAACACTTTGGGCTAAAATAATGAGTTTGAGTGTGTGTGTATGTGTTGTATGTGTGTTGTGTGTGGATACCTGCAAAGATCTGCTCTCCAGGATCTCCTCCCTTCTGCCCACCTTTGTCTTCCTTCCCATCTTCTTTTTTGGGGGAGGGGGACGTTTTTTATTTATATATTTATTTTTTAAACGCAAACAATACAAACAGTAACATATACATCTGGATACAAAAAAAGAAAGAAAAAAGAAAAACATATTACTGTGCACCATTACTCCCGCGAGACCTTTCCCCTCCCTCATATTTCCTCGTCTATAACAGGGGTCAGCAACCTTAAACACTCAAAGAGCCATTTGGACCCGTTTCCCACAGAAAAGAAAACACTGGGAGCCACAAAATCCTTCCCATGCCTGACTATTTTCTGAGCGGCCACAAAACTAGCATATGTAGTTGAATTAAACATTCTGTTTTCTTCTGAAACTTTTCTTTTCTTGGATTTATCCATGGTTGGCCTACCGGAGGTCAAAAACAATGGTCGGTTCTGGATCCCGTTCCAACTAGTACGATTGGAACGTGCTCGGTGTCACCCACATGGATGTGCGCGGGGCGTGCATGCGTCATATCTCCTGTGAGGTGTCCGCAAGCCTCTGTGATGCTCCAGCTGTTTGGCGGAGGGTAGCGCATGCGTCATACGCGCCATGCACGTGCGTGGAAGCGCCAAAGTCTTAAAGGACAGGTAAGGAGCTTGGGCAGGTGGGTGGGCCCTCCGGAGCATCGTACCGGAATGGTATCCGGTGTTCCGGGCAGGCTCTGGTACGTCCATACCGGGGCCTACCACCTGCAACCCA